TTCACGCCTAGGCCCGACGCTTCCTCGCACCACCAGCAACACTGCTTCACGTTGTTTCTGCCATGGTATTTACACGGCCCAAAGGGATGCTAGCTACTTTGAGGAAGTGGTCCCTAGGCACGAAGGGTGAGCGTGCTCGCGCCACACAAGCAAGCAGAGCAAGAGTCGTGGTGGTGAGGTTTAAGGCGTGGGGCTGAGCGGTGGAGGTGGCAACGAGTAGAGTTTTTGGGAAGAAAAGAAGATACACTGACAATGGACGTGTAAGGCACATGGGAGGTCTTTTTCTTATCCTTATCCCGCTTGCCGCATGGTAATAAAAAAACGGAGGCCTATTTGGTTGGTCTCTCAAAATGCAGTGTAGGAGTGCAGCAGCGCCATAGATTTTAGGAGGATCCGTTATTTAGATCGAGGCCACCCCAACACACAGCAAAAAGACAAAACAAATTACACCTAAAATTACAACCTAGCTAGCATTAAAACATGGTTCATTTTTTTGAATGTATTAAATAGGGTACTATAAATAAGCGAAAATGCTACTTTAAGAGCGCAGCCGCCCGGTGTGACTTACTACGCACGAGGTCTTTCCTCCCCGCTTTCTATACGGACTCCTCTCCCCGTCTCTCTCTGCTCGCCAGTGATGGCGTAATTCCCGAGGCGTCCTCCCCATCGCCCTGCGACCCATTATCGGTGCCATCGCTCAGCTCCACTCGCCTCCCCATCGTGCGGACATCGACATTGGATCTGTGGCGGTGCTGCCTTGATCCGTGTGGCGGGGGGGCAGTAGGCCTCCTCCTCACTCTTCTCTCTCCTCCGGATTGGGCTAGGGTTTGGTGAGCTAACCCTTCTTCACCAACCGGTGGGGTATAGAATGGCCACGGTGGGAGGTAGTAGGTAGGCCAGTGGTGAGAATGGTGGATGGCTGGCTTAGAGGAGTCGGGCGTGGGGTGGTCGGGCCATGTCAGGGGCGGGAGGCTCACGAGCTAAAGAAGATGGCGGTGGCGAGCTCACTGGCTGGAGATGATGGCGGCGGTGGGGAGAGGGAGGAGGGCATTACCGGCTAGGTCTCGTTCACGAGTGGCGGTGGTCATGGCGGGGCGAGGGCGTTGGAGTCAGGGAAGAGGGCTGCTGTGGTTTTTTTTTCTTTGGCTAAAAAACTAGTGTCCCACGAGGTGTGCGCGGAACCTCTAAATACTGCGCGAGCATGCTTTGCAAAGTTCATAAATAAATGAACCAAACCCAAGTGCTCACGTCGTCCAAAGGTCATCCTCCAGCCCAGAGCCTGCCCTCCAAGCGCAACATCCATTTTAGATGAGTTGGGCCGCCCGAACGATGGAAGAAGGGTGGGAGTAGGCCCAACGGTAACCGTAAACCCTTCTCCTTTCGGTTTGGCTCTTGTCTCTTCTACCCAAATCCCAAAATTCCGTTTCCCCACCGCAAATTTCAAAATTCCCACCCACCCATCCTTCCCCATCTCCAGTCAAGCGCTTTCTCCAGTCCAGTCCCCACCCCGTCGATCTCGCCCCCATCCCATGGACGCCGACGAGATGGACGTCGACCTCGACGGCGCCGGCGGGATCGGCTCCCACCCTCGGCCTCCCCGCGTCCGCCTCCGGTTCCCTCCCCCGCCGTCCTCTCCGAGCTCGCCGCCTCCACCGCCCCGCGTCCTCCTCCTCCGCCACCTCCCCGCCCTTGTCCCTGCCCTCCATCACGTTCCTCTCTCCGGCCCCGCCTGCCGTCGCGTCCATCTTCCCCGCCTCGCCGAGGCCAGCGTCCCTACGTCCTCTTGCTGCCCCCCGCTCGAGGCCTCGCTCTCCGCGCACCTGCCCCCGCCGCCGTCGCCTACCTCCGCCTCCTCCTCGCCCTGGCCTCCCGCTCCTCACCTCTTCTCCCCGCTCCCTTCCTCTCTCCTCCTCCTCGCCATCCACAAGGCCGCCGCCGCCGCGGCGCCGCCTCCGGCGCCGGCAGCGCCGCCTCCAACCCCAGCTCCCAGTCCCGGCGCCGCCTCCAACCCCTGCAAGCGCAAGAACCAGCGCCAGAAGCCGCCGGCGGCAGCCCGCGGGCGGCGCAGTCGCTGCCCGAAGGCGCTCTCCCTGCTCGCCGACGCCGCGGGAGGCTGCCGCTCAGGGGCCCACCCGGACGCGCGCGGCGGTCGCTCGTCGACACCGCCGCGGAGCTCGCGGCGTTCGACGTCCTCGCCGCCGTCCTTGGATCCGACTACCACGCCGGGCGGTGCAGGACGTGATACGCGCGCTGGCCCCGGTGGTGCTCTCGGCACGAAATCCGCGGCACGGGTGGCCGCGGTGCAGTTCCTCGTGAGGAAGTTGGTGCCTTTGGGTGGCGAGGAAGGGGAGGGAAGCAGTTAGGAAGGCAGTGGGGTACCTTCCCAGGTACTTGGCCGCGAAGGCGCCGGACAAGGCGGAGGCCAGGGCACTGGCGGTGGAAGCCATAGTCGAGGTGGTGCGGGCATTGGAGGCAGAAGTAAGGGAGGGATTTGCAGGGTATGTTGTGGCCATGGCAAGGGGCAAGGCAAAGGGACGACTGCTTGCTGTGGATTTGGTCCTCGCCTTGCTCCCAGTGCTGTTACCATCTGAAGGGGATGACTGTGATACAGAGGACTCTTGGTGGCTGAAGTTTTGCTGCTGTTGGTGGAGAGGTGCTCAGATAGCATGGGAGGGGTTCGAGCTCGGGCGTTAACGGAATGCAGCCCAGGTGCTTGATGTTTTGTCTGAGAGAGGTGTGGAGGTTGACCGGTTGCAGGAGGTGATGAGGATTGGGGACATGGGGCTTGGGGAATTGCTGAGACGACGCTGCCTGGATGATAAGGCTGCTGTGAGGAAGGCTGTGCTTGTGCTCATCACAAAGGCAATCGGTTTGATTGGGAGACCCATGGATGAGTCTCTTCTTTGTGCAATGGGCACTGCATGCTCTGATCCATTAGTCAGCATCCGCAAGGCTGCTCTTGCTGCCATCTCAGAGGTGTTTAGGAAATTTCCTGATGAGAAAGTGATGAAAGAGTGGCTTCAGGCTGTGCCTCCACTGGTGATTGATAGTGAGACAAGCATCCAGGAGGAATGTGAAAACCTGTTCCTTGAACTGGTGCTTAACAGGATCTGCCAAGCTGCCAAATCGAAACTAGATGATGATTCCATCACCTTGGAGGAAGTTTTCCCTGAAGGGACACTGAATTGCTGAAAAGCATCTGTGATGGAGAGGTTGCTCCATGCATAAAGAAGATATGTGCAAGCCTTGGGAAGAAGAAGAAGCTGAAACCACTACTTGCTAGCTCACTGCAGAACATCATAACACTATCTGAATCCTTGTGGTCGAGAAATTGTAAGCCAATCGAAAATTG